GCCCTAAGCCAGGGGTTGGGAACAAATGGTCCATGGGTTGGAGAAGCACATGAAATCACGTAACCTGGCCCGATCCATAACAGACACGTGTGCTTCTCCTCAGCGGCCCCAGCCCCATCGACCTGTATTGTGTGTTCCACAAGTGATGTTAGGGATACGCATGCAGATGGCCCCCAACAGGACAAGGGGTGTCCAGCCCCATTCTAAGGAGACTTGGCCCAGCTGTCACATGCTGAAAATGAAGGGACCCAGTTTCTGCTAATGAGAGGCTTAGGCCCCTTGCAGTTAGCGCTTGGGGTTGCATTTAATTTCTCCACAGCTAAGAAAGTGCAGTCTGGTTGGGTTTTAATTTTGTCATGTAGCAAACTGGGACAATCGCACTGCGAGTAGGGCATTTGCCTTGCATGCAACCGACCTGGTTTGATTCCTCTGTCCCTCTCAGAGATCCCGGCAAGCTACCGAGAGTATCCCGCTCACACTGCAGGGCCTGGCAAGCTCCTTGTGGCATATTCGATATGCCAAAAACAGTAACAACAAGTCTCACGATGGAGACGTTACTGGTACCTGCTCGAGCAATTCCATGAACAATGGGAGGACAGTGCATCATCATCATCATCATCACGTAGCAAAGATCCAGCAATAGATATTCCAGGCTGGCATGGTAGCTCCATCATCAGGGACTCCAAATCACCCTGGCCTAGGCTTTCGCCAGTGCCTTGCCATCTTGTGGTCCAGCACTGAGCCTCCACTCCAAGAGGGGTGAAGGGAAGGGCCGGCGAGCCCCAGAGCACAATTCCTTTCAAGGACTTTCCTGGAAAACCCGTTCAGCAATTTTTGTCCCCATTAGCCTGACCTCTGTCACATCCATGATCACCCTCAGGAGGGGTGTGTGTGAAATGGGACATTTTTGGTTTTGCTGAAGGTACATCACTGCTTATAAAACCATGGGTTCGAGGAGAGAGTGAACCTTGAGATGTTGCCCCCGCTCCTCTGTGCAAGGTCTTCCCTAATCCTAGCAAACTGTGGAGGCAAGGGGCCTTGTCCCTATTTCACAGATGCAGAACTTGAAATGAGAGAGGTCAGGGCCTGACCCAAGGTCACCCAATTCATGCGGGGCGAGCCAAGCTCTGACTGTCTGAGGTGATCCAGGTCTGACTCTCTGCCATGGTCCCCAGAATGCCAGGAACACCCTGTGGTTTGGCCCATTGCCCAGGCCAGGGGCTCTCAGTGATGATCTGACCTGCCCAGGGAAGGCACCTATGTCCTCCTCACCCAGCCTCAGGCACTGCACAGCCCCTTGCCAGCCCCCACCACCCCGCCAGCTCGCAGTGAGGCTTCCTTCCCCACCGCTGCTCAGATCTAAGTATCAGACTTCTCCTTGGTAGCGTCTCCTGATTTGAAAAGTCGTGTGTTGAGTTGTTGGGAATGTGGGGAGACAAGCGGAAAACACAGAGTGCAGTTTTGTCTTCAGCTCCTTATCTCGTTAAGTGAACTGTCTCAGGCACATAAGCTCGGGGAGCAGGGAACGTCTCCTTTGACTTCCTTCCCTCAGTTGGGGCCTAGACATCGAGGCCACAAAGGCACCAAGAGAGTGAGCAGCTGGTGAGGGGCTGTGGGACGGAACAGTGGTTAGGGCGCTTGCCCTGCATGTGGGCAAACCCGGTTCCATCCCCGCTTCTACATTGCCTCCCATGCATCACTCAGGGTAGCCCTGGCGGTCGCATCCTTGGCCCTTATCTTCAACCACTGGCCACAGTTGACCTGATCTTCAGGATTGGCCCTGGTTGGGAAGTGACCCCCTCCCCCCATAAAAAGAAACCGTTAAGGCTTTGAATCCAGAAAGCTGCTAGGTGACAGGTTATCCTCTCTCTCTCTCTCTCGCTCGCTCTCTCTCTCTCTTTCTCTTTCTCTCTCTCTCTCTCTCACACACACATACACACGGACACTCTCACAGACACACTCTCTCACACACGCACACTCACACTCTCACACTCATATTCTCACATACACACACTCTCACACACACACTCACACACACTCTCACATACATACTCTCCCCCACACACACTCTCTCATACACATTCTCTCATACTCTCTCTCACACACACATTCTTTCTCACACATACAGACATTCTCACACACACTCTCTCTCATACACACATACACACACTCTTACACATACACTCACTCACACACTCTCAAACATACACACACTGTCCCTCTCAAACACATTCTCTCAACACATTCTCTCTCTCACCTCCAAAGGTTTAGCACCTCCAAAGGTTTATTTTATGGTGAATGCTGGTGTTAGTCTATAGAAAGGAGTTATTCCATATCTAGTTTGCTTTGGAGAAGTATTGGTGTATGAGGGAAGCAGGGACTGGGCTCACAGTTAAGGACTGAGATCTACAGCTAAATATTGGCTCCAAAGTTAGAAAAGAGAGGCAAGCTCTGTGATTTGGGTTAGGTTATGAAAGCAGCACGAAATTTGGTTCTCACCATTAACCCACTCAGTGTGGGGACCGTGATTAACCCAGATCGCATGTGGTTACAGTGATTAAACCAGGCTGACTAGGACATGTGACTTTTATAGCCTGGGGCATTTTCCCTACTTTCTCAGACCCAGGGACTATGTACATGCTTTTGTAAATGCATGGTAGTTGATTGGTAAAGAGTCAGAAATCCATGTTTGGTTGTGTTGGGCCATTGTACCCACACTCTTGGGACTCGTAGTTAAGGAAGTTCTCTTCCCAGCTCCTGACTCCATCCCCCAGTTCTAATGTCATGTACATCGGTGACATATTTATTTCATTCAGCTGCTTTTATGACAAGATGCTTATCTCGGGTGGGAATGACAAAGAGTTGCGGTTACTAGCGTTCATGATAAGGATAGTCGGATTGTACAGTTTGGGGGCCTTGGCCCTGGTGTGCCGCAGATGGCAGCTAGGGCTTTAACCTTCTAGACTGGCACATTCTCCAGGAGTGGTTTCCTGAGTCTGACAATCAGTAAGAAAGCTAGATAAAGGCTGGCTTAGGGAAGCTCGGGTTTACCAGTCGGGGTTACACTGACCAGTCTACCCTCTGGCCTGTCTCTCAGACCCCTACGTTGAGATTTCAACTAGCTCTTAGATGGGGTTGCTTCTGCCCTGAGTCTTTGCTGACTTTCAGTGGATGAAGATCTGGATGCAAGGCCACCTGGGACCCAGCACCTTGCTGTGAATGCAGCAACATTTCCAGCATGTCTCCAGCCTGCAGTGGAGAACGCTGTGGCCAGGCCAGTTGGAGGGGATGGTTTCCCAGGCCCTCACGCCTCCGAGTGTTCCTCCAGGACATTCTTCCAAGGAGACTAAGGACTCTCATCACCCCCCCTCCCACAACCACCCCACCCACCACCAAGGTCCTTAATGATTTTTCTGCTCCAACTAGAGTGTGTTTCTTGCACATAAATTCTGCAAAACTTGTGTAGGTCCTTCTATGTCCCTGATACAATGTGGATACAGAGTTATCTAGAGCCTGGCCCCAAGGAGGGGGTGAAAAAAGATAGTTTGCAGTGGGCAGTGGAGCTTGGAAGAGACCTTCCCCCTAATCCTGTGTACCCTGACTTTTTCACCCCCATGTCCCTTCTCCTTTCCATTGGTATGTGTGCAGGCCAGAGACATGCCCTGGAGAGGCCATAGAGAGAAGTGGGCCAAAGTGCAAGGGCTCTCACTGTTCCTGGGAACAAGTCCTGTCTCAGCCTCCTTCCTTGCTTATCTTGTCTGTGCCTCTGTTTTCTTCCCTTCGGAATCAAGCGAGGACCCTGCTGGAGCTAGCCCCTGGTGAGACGGGTCAGTGGTCCTCTCCAGAGGTCTTTTTTCTTTCCACACCATCTTTTCTTTTTTTTTTTGCTTTTTTGCTTTTTTTGGGTCACACCCGGCAATGCTCAGGGGTTACTCTTGGCACATGCACTCAGGAATTACTCCTGGCAGTGCTCGGGGGAACACATGGGATGCTGGGAATCGAGCCCGGGTCGGCCGTGTGCAAGGCAAATGCTGCACCTGCTGTGCTATTGCTCTAGCCTCAACCTCACCATCTTTGAAGAAGATTCATTAGACTGTTCGGTGTCCTGTGGTTTGTTCTGGACTCCATGAGAGAGATCCCAGAACCTGTTTTCTCTCTGGGGACTGCCCCGGCTGGACAAGAAGACCATTGTCAAAAGGGAAAGCTGAGGGGAGATTAGAAAAAATGTTAAATGATGGTGGTGGGAAGGGGTAATGGTGGTGGGATTGGGGTTGGACTATGAACTCTAACCAATCATCATCAACAACTTTACTAAAAAGGTAAAGGTAAAGGTAAAGGCCCTCCCGTTGATCGTCGATTTGCTCGAGCGGGCCCAGTAACGTCTCCATTGGAGACTTTGTTATTACTGTGTCTGGCATATCAAATACTCTCGGTAGCTTGCCGGGCTCTCCAAGAGGGGCGGAGGAATCCAACCTGGGTCGGCCATGTTGGCCACTTGTAAGGCGAACGCCCTACCGCTGTGCTATCGCTCCAGCTCATTTTTTACTAAAAAATAAAATTTAAAAAATGATATAAAATCTATAAGAGGGAAAGTCAAGGGAAATGCCACTTATAGTATTATATTCAGGAGTCCGCATGGAGCTTGAACAAACTGTGAACACCGAGAATTCAGGGTCACCCCAGCTCTCCCCTGGATCCTGTGTGGTCAGGCAGGGTGGCCTCTGGCTCGAAGGAAACCCAGGGTCTCTTGAATCATTTGTAACCCAGTTACGACCCAGTGTGAATTGGGGGTGATGGACTTGGCTAGTTCCCATCTACCTGGGGGCTGGGTAGGCTTCCTGGAGCAGTAGCATGGAGGGAGTCACAGCTGAGTAGAGTCGGGGTGGGACGGAGGGCGTTTCGGGCGTGTGCAGAGACCAGAGGATGGTCTGAGTGCAGTGCGCATTGCCTGGGGCCTTGCAGCTGTGGGCAAGGCGCTGAAGGTGCTGCTGTCATTGCAGGGAGAAGGTGGAGCGACAGGCCGTGCCCCAGACCAACCACACTGAGTCCTGCCACGAGTGTGGCCGCATGGGGCCTGGCCATACGAGAGACTGTCCTCTTCGCAACCCCGAGGACTCCTTCGGCTTCGAGAGGCGGGAGCAAGAGGAGGAACAGCAGCGGTACCGCCTGCAGAGGGACTTATCCGAGGGCAAGCGGGACAGGAGCAGGGCCCGGCCCTTGTACTCCCCCGTGGAGGACGACGCCCCATTGGTGGATTTCACCGGCAGCCTGAGAGGCCAGCAGCCCCAGCCCCAGAGGGCAGAGAGGAACGGGCTGCCGCCTGGCACATACGGCCCGGGAGAGGTCAATGGGACAGCCGGTTACCAGCGGGCCTTTGCTCCCAGAGCCAACCCTGAGAAGCACGGGCAGAGGAAGAGCAACCTGGCCCAGGTGGAACAGTGGGCCAAGGCCCAGAAGGGGGACATCCGGAGGTGAGTGATGAGGCAGGCTCCCTGCTCCTGGGAGAGCGTGGTTGGTGGTGCTCAGGGTGGAGTCGGGGTGGGGACGGGGCGGGGGCCGGCCTGCATCTCTTTCCTGCTGTTCTCTCTGTGGACCCCTGGCCTGGAACCATTCTGCAAGGAGAGGGTGCTACCCCCAATAGTTGGAGTCTCCGGAGAAGGGAATGGAACCCATTCCTAAAAGGGCTGGACCAGTTGGCATTCCCACTCGCAGTGAAGGAGAGTCCCTTGTACCCACATCCATGCCAACACTGGTTGCTCTTGTTCCTTTGGATGTGGGCCAGTCTCTGTGGTGTGAGATGATATCTCATCGTTGTTTTGATCTGCATCTCCCTGATGATTAGTGATGAAGAGCATTTTTTTTTCTCATGTGCCTTTTGGCCATTCAGATTTCTTCTTTGAGAAAGTTTCTGTTCATCACCCCATTTTCTGATGGGGTTGGATGTTTTCTTCTTGTAGAGTTCAACCAGGGCCTTTGTGTACCCTTGATATCAACCCCTTATCAGATGGGTATTGGGTGAATATCCTTTCCCATTCTGTAGATTGTCTTTGTATTCTGGTCACTGTATCTGTTGAGGTACAGAAGCTTCTTAGTTTAAGATAGTCCCATTTGTCTATCTCTTTTTCCACTTGCTTGGTCAGTGGAGTGTCACCTTTGAAGATACCTTTAGCCTCAATGTTGTGGAGGAATGGAACCCATTCCTAAGCACCCAAGCCAGAGTTCTAACCTGGATCCCTGAGCCATGGGACCCCGCGGGAGAACACATCACAGGGGCTCGCCCATCCCAAGAGCGGAGAATCATGAAGATCCTCTGAGACATTTCCCCTTATGCTGCCGCTTCTCTGTGCCAGGAGATATCCATAGAAACAAGAGCCAGCACAGATCTATTTTTCAATTCCGGACACATAGGGCAGGGCTCAGGCCCTGTGGACATGAGATTGTATCTGACGCGTTCCTTCTCGGAGCAGGTTTTAATTATTTAGAGGGCAGGAGGCTCGTGCTATTTGCAAAGCGGTGTCCGCGTCTTATTGTCCTGTGAACACAAAGCATTCAGGGTCACCCCTCTTTCCTCACCATCCCCCCAAGCCAAAGCTGTGTGTTTGCTTTCCTGCAAAGGCAGCAGATCCTACTTCTCACCTGCAGACTTGCAGGTAAACCGCTGAAAGCAAGGAGATGGCAAAGCCCCAGGTGTTCAGAACGGTCCACAGGGCCAGAAGGACCTCAGGGGATGTCCCTCAGACCAAGCCTGACACTTTAGAAAAGTGTGCTAACATGCCATCCTTCATCCTTCCCTGGGGGTTCTGGGCATGCTTCTATCTACCTGTGGGCACACTGGGGGCCCCTTGCAGGTGTGGGGTGACGCATGCACCTATAGGGAGGTAGGCTCTTCCAGCCGCTCCTTTGAGGTGTTCATCAGGGCGGGTGATGGAGAATGACAGTGGAGTCTGCTAAGCAGCTAATAGGTGTTGTATGGGACAGGCAGAGGAAGGCAAGCCTTTCATATTGTAACTATGACATCCGCCCACATCCAGCTCGGGCTGGCTAGGTGTCCACTTGATTTGTGCAAGTTTTGTGTTTGGTTGAAAATAGAAAAGACCTGTTCAAGGCGCAGGGAAGTGAAGCTGCGATTCTTGGTGCGGGATTTCGGAGGGCCGCCGTGGAGGGGATTCGATAGGACCCCACGTGAGGTCGGGACACAGGCAGGGGTTCGACCATGTAAGTCCTCATGCTCCAGAGGAAGAAATAGGAGCTTTATTTGGAAAAGCTGCCGAAGGAGCACTGGAGGGTTCCAAGCAGGCCAGTTAATAGTTAATAGTTCTGTGGTCAATAGTTCACAAAGGAAAAAATAATAATAATTCACAAAGAAGGCCAGAGCCTGAGGGGAGGTGGCTGGAGAAGTCCAGGGTGGGGATGGTGGGGATGGGAGGGACATTGGGGAGGTTGAAACAGCAAAGTGCGGGGCTGGAGAGATAGCACAGCGGGTAGGGCGTTTGCCTTGCACTCAGCCGACCCGGGTTCGATTCCCAGCATCCCATATGGTCCCCTGAGCACCATCAGGAGTAACTCCTGTGCATCTCCAGGTCTGACCCCCCCCCCCCCCAGAAAAAAGAAACAGCAAAGTGGCTGTGCAGGGGAAGGAAAGGAGAGGCAAAGGCAATCCCTCGGAGAGTGCGTTGCGCTTTAAGTGCGTTGTTGCTGGGATGGGAAAAGCCACAGGAAAGATTTGGGTCCTGGCTGCCCGTTGTCCACACACAAATTTGAGAACCCTGTTGTCTTCCTGGGGGGCCATGTCAGGTAGGCAGATGCCTGGATGCAGCGTGGAGATTTGCAGTGGGAGCTGATGTGCTGAGAGGAAGTAGCCAGGGCTTGAGAGAACTCAACGGTCTGAGTGTTTGCTTCATGTGCAGGAGAACTGAGTACAGTCAGAGTGGCCCCTAGTGACTCCCCCCAGCAATGCCGGTTGTGGCCCCAAAATAGAAACAAAATAGAAACAAAAAGTCCAACCAAACAAGTAAAAAGAATGACAGTTTTGAGTTACCCTGTGATTTTTTAAAATATTTTTCTCTTTTATGTACTTGTTTATTTTGTTTTGTTACACCCGTTAATGCTCAGGGGTTACTCCTGGCTCTGCACTCAGGATTTACTTCTTGCAGAGCTTGGGGGACCCTATGGGATATTGGGGATTGAACCCGGGTCGGCTGCATTCAAGGCAGTGGGTGCAAAAATCACCCACTGATGCTCAGGAGTTATTTCTGGCTCTGCAATTAGTAACTCAGGAATTAGTCCTGGCGGTGCTGAGGGACCCTGATGGAATTCGAGCCAGTTGCGTGCACGGCAAATGCCCTTTCTGCTGTGCTATGGCTCTGGCCCCTGGAATTTTGGTTTCTAAATGATCCAATTTATACCTGTACATCGTCTAAGGACGTGAGTAGTGAACCTCTCCCCCTGCTCTCCCCCCCTCCCTACAACACATCCCTGTTTCTGAACCATTCCTTGCAAGCAGCTGTCTCCTTCCTTTAGTAGTTTTTCCTCTTTACCTAAATTTTTCCAAATTATAAGTTCATACATCTTTCTTTATTTTTTATTTACTTTTATTTTTTTGCTTTTTGAGTCACACCTGGCAACGCACAGGGGTTACTCCTGGTTCTGGACTCAGAGATTACTCCTGGCGGTGCTCTGGGGACCGCTTTTTAAGTGTGTCTCCCCTCACCCTACACACCTTTTCTTTCCAATAGCTGCACCTACCTTTACACCAGCTTTCCACTGCAAGTCATCAGCATGATTTTTGTTTGGATCATTAGTGAGATTTTACATTGTTCTGTCAGGATAAATAATGTGAGAATAAGTGATGTCAGGATAAATATTCATAGTTGGGCCATATGGCAAGCTATATTTAAATTTTATTTGTTGAACAGATTTTCTTTCTTCTAGTGTTTTTTACTTTCAGTTTTCTTTCTATTGTTAACTCATAATGAACTTCCTAGTTAGATATGAAAATATTTTGTTCAGTGCCCTCAAATAACCAATAATCCACTCCAAAACCAGAAGTTCAAACAAGGACCAGGGACTTGCCTCACGTGGTAGAGCATGTGTCTTGTATGTGTGAGGCCCTGGGGTTCACCCTGAGCACTGGTGACCCTGCCCCAGGACTTCTGGGAGTGGCCCAGGTGCCTTTGAACATCAATGGTTGTAACTCCTCCAGCAGTAGTAAATATATTTGGGGCCAGAGTGATGGTACAACATGTAGGGCATTTGCCTTGCATCCACCTAACCCAGGTTCAATTCCCGACATCCCATATGGTTCCCCGAGCACTTTCAGGAGTAATTCCTGAGTGCAGAGCCAGAAGTAACCCCTGAGCATCCCTGGGTGTGACCCGAAAAGACTGTAGCACTGTCCTTCCATTGTTCATCAATTTGCTCAAGCGGGCACCAGTAACAGATCTCCATTGTGAGATTTGTTGTAACTGTTTTTGGCATATCGAATATGTCACAGGTAGCTTACCAGGCTTTGCCGTGCGGGCGGGATACTCCCGGTAGCTTGCTGGGCTCTCTGAGAGGGGTAGAGGAAACCCAAAAAGCAAGAAAAAAAATAGTAAATATGTGTGATGTATGTATTTATATAAAATATAAATATATATTTATATATATTTATATAAATATAAATATATAGATACAGATATATATAGAATCTATATATATACATATATACTGAAAAATAAATCTTCCATTTCAGAAATGTAGTTTACTCCCTTATTAGTGTGTGTGTGTGTGTGTGTGTGTGTGTGTGTGTGTGTGTGTTTTAAGCGATTTTGGGGCTGGAGCAATAGTACAGTGGGCAGTGCACTTCCATTGCATGCAGCTGGCCTGGGTTTGATCCCTGGCCTTCCTTATGGTCCTCAAGTCTGCCAGGAGTGATTCCTTAGTGCAGGGTCAGGAATAAGCCCTGAACATGGTTGGGTGTGACCCTGAAACAAAACTCAAAATGAAACAAAAAAAAACAGCATTATCTCCCTTTAGCCTTTTCCGTTAATAATATTCGTGTATGTCTAAGTATAGATGAGCAGGTATTTAAGTTTTGGTTGTTGGGTTACATCTGTGGTTCTCAGGGTCTGCCTCTGGCTCCTTGCTTGGGGGTGACCCCCCAGTGGTAGAAGGGTGCACCAAACCCCAGCCTCTGACGCTGAGCCTGACAGCTCTGTCCCACCCGGTGGGTGGGCTCCACATAGCTGAGCTCTCTCTCGTGTCAGCACATACGTACTTAGAGCATTCATTAGGGAAGGGGCTGTGTGCCACTGACACCAACATCACCATTCATTCTCCTGATGACGGGTCCTTGGGTTGGTTACAGACATTTGCTCTTGAATTGATGCTACCATGAAGATCTTTGCCCACTTGTCCTTATATAAGTGCAGGTGTGCTTGAGGGACAAAATACCTGAAGTGCAATGACCGGGCCAAAGGACATAACAAGA